AATATCCCTACTACTACTGAAGCTTTAAGATCACAGTAAAGTGAATGCCAGGTGTTGTTGTGACCAAATCAATGACTGGCAAGAACAGCTTGAGCGCATGATAGAAATTGGCCATCTAGGTTTTAATGTTTTACGCAAAATTTAAATAAAAGAACAAGAGTCGGCGGGTGTTACCTGACAGAATATTCAGGGGGTGTTATGTTGTTTAAAATGTAGCAGAAACAATAAAAAAAATCATGACTGGAATCATAATTCCTCATTGTCAACTAACAAAAGAATCCACACCACCAGACAGAAACACCCAAGTTCCAAGGTACCTTTGTTTTTTACGAAAAACGGGTGATCCAATCTGCACTCGGCTGTGAGGAGACCTTTTTCAGGGGAGCCAGGGTCAAAGGTCAGCTTGAGAGCAGCCTGGCCAAATGATATTGTATCTTCATGGTTTACCAGTTTAAGTCCATCAGCCCCAAATCTCTGCAAATTAAGAAAATATCAAGTGTTACTTACTGTCTGTGCAGTTTTCTTTTTTAAACAGCTCTTATTTTCCTAAACCATCTGTTTTGGTCTGTTGAAGGATTAGCAATTTACATTCCTTAGGCTTCATTTACTGAGTGACTCAATGCAATTTTCCTGACACGTCTGCCATCTTGTGGCCAGCTCAGGAAAAGATGGAAAAGAATCTGTGTCTTGAGGTGTGCAATGCCTTACTTTGGTTGAGAACGAGGAGCGTGACATGTTTTCATCATCAGAGTCATCATCTGAGTCCCCCAGTTCATCAGCTTCCTGCCATTCAACGTTAGGACCTCGATGGAAGCGCAGGCGAGTTCCTGAAATATCAACAAAGCAATGAGTATAATGGATAAAACTGGGTGCAGTACACATGTTTGAACACCAGAGGTCAGAAATGCGTTACAAATTTCCAGTTGTCTCAAAAAAAACATTCAAGAACTCTGGTTGTTGTTAAAGCAGTGTGCAAAGTCATTCTATTAACATCTATTTAAAACAAAGAATCTGTTTTAATGGCAAACTGGTTGATTTTTTTTTAACTAATTGTTTAATTTAAATATTAGTATTATAATGATGTGTGAATAAAGCATGTTGTTCACATGAGTTTGAAAAAGCACGTAAGTATGAAATGAATTTACCTTTTAAGAAGCAGTGCCAGGCTGTGGACGGCCAGGAATGAGACCACGCCATGTCTTCATCATCAGAAAATGATGAGGACATAGAGAAAACCCCAGACTCTGATTCACTGCTGGCCTGTCGTAGGTAAGAAGTGTAATTCTCACATTTCCAGTAATAATCAAACAGCCTGATAATAGAGTTTAACAGGAAATTATCGTTTAGAGGTTTAGGTGGAGAATAAAGGTTACCCTGACACGTCTGCGCTCCCTGAGGTGGCCTCTGGAAGGGCTGGGCGCGCTGCTGGCTAATGGAGGCCGGGCATAGGAATGTAAACTGTTACTGTTGCCAAAGATGTGGACTGGAGATGATCTGCAATTGATATTGAGATAAATGTTAATGCAGGGTTCCTACAGCATAAGGCAATTTAAATTCAAGACTTTTTAAGACTTTTTAAGGACCCGCGGGAACCCTGTA